CATTTTCGAGTCATATCCCATCATCGTTCTCTTTTTGACGCACGGTACTGGACTGGAAATGGTTGAAGAATTAATTTTTTATGACTGTTACCAATATCATACTGTAGGGATGGAGCAGGAAATGGCATATGGTGAACGGGTGTGTGGAGAAGCAGCAGCAGAAGGAATCAGCTGTGTTGAATGTATTCTGAGCGAAGGCAACTTGTGCTGTCGTTTAAAGCCTAGTTGTAGCAACTAGGCTTTAAATGGCTCACTTAAAAAAAGACAGGACACAAAAATGACATTTAAACATGATGTGATGCACTTTAATCCATAGAAAGAAAAATCAGGGTAAAAACATGATATACTAATGGGCATGTAAGAGCATCTCGCATTGCGATCAGCTCCAGTTAGTCACTGTCAATAATAGAGGTACAGCAGGGACCCATTTCTGCCCAAAGGTGCTGAGGATGACTACTGATACACCCTGCTTTAACATGAAGTTGGGATTTTATTTGTGAGGCGATGCATTTTCTTTCAAAATAAAATAAAGACACTTGTTGACAAGGTCTCCGTGCTCTCTTACAGCAAGCGTGACATCTCTGCACATGTGGATCAGCGGAAAATCCCAACTTTTTCTCACATATTAATTTGCATGCATATGCTTTAATAATTAGTTAGTGTCGGAACAGCTGGTAGATTATTGGGTAATTTGAACGGCAGAAAATTAATCAGCAACACTTTAACATTTAAAATCCATTTTTGGAAGTAATTTTTCAAGCAAAAAATCTCTAGTTCCAGCTCAGTGTGAGTGTTTGCAGCTTTTCTCTGTTTAATAGTGCTTTAAGCTAAATGTCTTTGGGTTGTGGACCATTAGTTGGACAGAACAAGACTTTTAGCCCCCCAACCTCCCCAAATTCCTCAACCCTACCCCACTCAGCACTTGGTTTTGGTTTCCCTACCCCTCATTAGGTGTTACATGATAGCAAGTTGTAAAAGAATCGACGATTTTTCAGACACTTAGTGATGAGATGAAGTCGTGTTGAAGACTCGAGTGCATAAATAACCTGCTGGTTAAATGAAGCTGTTGTTATTATGCAGTGCAGGAACAGGTTTTAGTGGGATTTGCATGCATTTTGGAATCATATCCCATCATCGTTCTCTTTTTGACGCATGTTACTGGACTGCAAATGTTTAAACAGTAAATTTCAGTCAGGACCACTTCAGTCAAAGAAAACTTTAATTCCATTTGCAGTATTATATTTGGTGGTATGGCTCTGTTCTGGGGCCTTTCTGCCTTTCCTAGGCCTACGCAGTAAGCCTCTTCCAGGCGCTGACATGGAATGCCTTAAGGCAGAGAGAGCACACCTCTCTGCCCTTCCATGCGCCAACATGGAAAGCCTAAGGCCGAGAGAGCAAATCTCTCTGCCCCTTCCACGTGCAGATGAGGAAAGCCTAAGGCAGAGAGAGAGCACACCTCCCTGCCCTTCCATGCGCCTACATGGAAAGCCTAAGGCAGGGAGAGCAACGGCAGAGACCTCCCTGGGGTCAGAACAGAGCAGTATCAATGACGAACAGCAATGACCTTAAGACGTCAGACACAGCGTGAAAAGGAGGAGCTGGGGTGGAGGCTGGTTGCAAAGCAGCTTGCAGAGGAAGCAGCAACAGTAGGCAGGCCAGAGCAGTTTAATCAGGGCACCCTGAATGAGATTTGTCAACTGGTTGCATAGAAAGGAATCATGTGTTTTAGCCTCTCATCCATGAGCAGATGCATACTTTCTTCTGAGTGATATAGTTCCTATATGAAACTGCTCACAACAAGGTCTGTTGATTATTTTGAGTAACTGGGTCATGATTTGTTGTTTGGCACTTTGAGCACTACAAGCCAAGTGCCATCTAGTTCCACTATATTCAAGAGAAGGCAGATACGGCCGATACTCCCACCAAAACAATCTAGATTAATAAATAGAACTACAGGTAACAGGAAAAATATGTACTTATGATTTGGGGGTGAACTGTCCCTTTAAGCACTTTTTTGGCATGTGTAGAAAGATTTGAGACATGACAAATGAGCCTGACAACCAATCACATGCTAGCCAACAAATGACAGATGTGCGATCCTAAGTAGCAGCTTGTGAAATAACTTAATTGATCGTATATGTGTCGGGTGATAATGGAAGCTGAGATTTAGACTTAATCATTTCCGAGAGTAGTGTGTGATTGTGAAAGCTGAATGGTTTTCTGGCTGAAGAGTCACTTAATATAAAAAGAGAGACCCATGCTGACTTGGTTCCTGGAGGTCAAGTGGCATAATTGTGTTTCAGGGCTGCAGCAAGAGGGCTGATCCATCTCTTTATGCTGCACGCAGGAGTGTCATTGCATAAAGGTCACTGGCAGTTGAATCATCAGGAACTTTAGAGGTTTTTCTCCCACAGTAAGTGAAGTGTTTCTGTGTTGAGAGAGCAGTAAGACTTGTGTGAGCTTCAGAGGATCGTAAAGCTTATTATGCGTCTTCTACTATAAAGTTGCTGGAGGTGCTTTGATGTACTCTGTACCAGCCTGTTGACATGGAAACTGAAGAGGCTATTGTGCGACGAGTATTCCCGCCACCAGTTTTGATGAAATAAAGATCAATTCATGAGTCATTTGATCATACTGTTTGTTTTTGTGGCTCGACAATGTTGGCGAGTGATGCCTTTATTTCATCCCTCACAGCGATTTAAAAGCATGCGCTGTCCCTTTTACCTTGCAGGAATTGAAACATGCACTGTCTCGATGTGAAACAGTCTTTGCAGTCTTTTCTTGTTTAATTTAATGACCTCCTCTTTGGTAAGCCACAGTGCCACTCAGAGATAACAGCTACAGACAGTAGCCATGGCTAAAATTAAATCGGTGCAGCATTGTGAATTACGGATCACTACTAAAAGCATCCATCATATCAAACACTAAATACATCACCTAAACGCCTCATCTGTTTCTGCGCTGTGCTTGTGTGTTGTAGCTCTGAGTGGGTGAATGCTTGTAATACTGAGCTCCTGGTGGATTGTGTGAGTCATTAATGTGCTTCAACATGGGTTCAAGGAGCTGAGAACGGTCTTTATTGGTACAAAGGATGGAAAGGCAATTTTTTATTTTATTTTTTCATTCGGCAGGAATTCTAAATCAAAACATGTAACAGCTACAAAACAATTAATGTATCATAGGGCTGAGGAGTATATCGATATAATATCCATACATGTTATGAAACTAGATATTGTCTTAGATTTTGGATATTGTAATATTGTAAGCATCTAGTCTTGACCCGGCATAAATGACTTGACTCTGACGTTAAACCCATTAATAATCGCTAGGTAGAGTTAGCCTTGTGATACTAACAGCAAAGACGGTGGATAAACCAAGACGGTCCACTGTGAGTCAGTTTCCTGTATCAGTGTCACGTGGGGTTCGCGACCACCACGCCCGTTTGGGAGACTAACAGCAGGTCCTGAGTCCATTGACTTCAGTGGGAGAAATGAACGTGATTACAGATTATGGCCGATTCTCCCCCCGCGCTTAATACACAAACAACATGGCAGCGAGTGGGGAAGAACTCGTTCAAGAAAGGGAACGAGTTCGTAAGCGCTTTTGTGTGCTCACCTGTGCGTGTGTGTGTGTGTATGTGTGTGTGTGTGTGTGTGTGTGTGTGTGTGTGTGTGCTCATCAGGGCCGAACTCTGCCGTGCATGACACAGAGAGCAGAGGAGGATTTTCGACGCGCACCGTGTAGGGACATAAATGCCATGCCGTTGTGTAAATAAGATGCATAAGTGTTACCAACGCCAAGCTGGCAGACCCCCGAACCGTAGTAAAGGGACCTCTGAAGACCATTAGCTCCTTTAGCTTGTGTTAGCTTGTTGTGGCAACAACACATAAACAACGGGACTTCGTCTGCGTTAAAGAACAGCACTTTATTTTCAGCACTGCAGGGATGATGCACAGCCTCTATCATCAGTGTCTGACTTTTACATAGAGGGAAATAACTCATAAACAGCATGCAGAACTGCGTAGGCTTCTTCACTGTGGCTGCTCTATGTAAACAACATAGCACATGCCTCACTTTCTTCCTGGGGCGCATCCGTCTGATGTCACACACCACACCCGGCGCGCTAATGTCTCATACCTCCTACATCAACTACACACATACACAGCTCCACACACACACACACACACACATCAGGCTCAGCCTGTAACATAAGGCTATTTAGTTTGTTTAATAAAAGGACAAGGTATAGACCTGTTCTATAGGAAAGGTAACCTTAAATGACTTCTGTTGTGATCTAATATAATGGTAGGGGAAACACTGCTGTATGATCAGAAAGGGGTCCAGTGGAAAGCGATCACAGATGCAGTCGACGTGTATATTGCAAGAGATGTGGTGCCCATATATAGGCTACCGTGGAAAAGCCAGGGTTTATTCACATGCTGAAAGTGTTGGACCCCAGGTATGTGCTACCAGGCCGCAAATATTTATTTATTTATTTATTTTTTAACTAGGAGGGGAAAAAATTGATTTAAATCGTGAATCGGATTTTTTTTTTTTTAGGCCATATCGCTCAGCCCTAGTCGCAATATTTATATCAAGGTATTTGGTCAAAAATATTGTGATATTAGATTTTCTCCACATCGCCCATTCCTAATGTGGCATAATCTAAGTGTAAAAAGAGCACATTTTAAACTTAAACAGTGCTGACAAATGGGAAAGAGGTTGGAGCACATTTGGCCTGAGGCTTAAACAGAACATAATGTGCTCTTTATCTCAGTTTCTCCTCCATCTTGTGTGTGCATTGTATTTGCATTTCAGGCAGAAAGGTTGTCTAAGTGGTCATGTTCTCTGGGGACTTGGATATTGACAGCAAACTAAGTAAAACCGGTTGTTAAATAATGCATCAAAAGATCCTGTCTGTTACATTAAGTCACTCTCAGCTTCTCTGTCTGTGTGTAGCACACACTTTACAGTTAAATGTCTGATCTGTGTCTCCCCAGAGAGTGTATGGACCCAGGTGATGATCCATGACGATGCTCGCTGAAGGGTCTGTCTGAGCTGAAGCCCACCATCGTAGCATCCCATTGATGAAGACGACGTGGTGGATCTGCTCCCGGACGCTGAGACCATGGTGAAAGCTCAGCGGAGCCAGCCTGTGAAATGCGGGAAGCCGCGGAAGGAGAAAGGAAGCAAGGAGAAAGGAGGTGGCGTGAAAAAAGTGAAAAAGAGAAAGAACGAGTTGAGAGGGAGGAAAAAGAAGGATAAGAAAGAGCTACATCGACACAGAAAGAAGACACTGGCAGTGGGTGATGGAGACGCGCTGGACTGTTGCGTCCTGCTCACCCGTCTGGAGGAGAAAGGAGTTGTGGGTAAAGCAAAGGATGCACTAAAAAATGGGAAACAAAAGGCGGGGAAAGTCAAGAAGAAGCTGCACTCCAGCTCCAGTCACAGAAGGACCAAATCTGGACTTAAGAAAACTTACGCAGCCAATCAGCAAGCACTGGAACCAAAAATCAACCAATCTGACGCCTTACTCATGTTTCCCGCACATGTCTTTGAGCCCCGCAGGCGGAGGATGGCCTCTCTCAATGCTGAGGCCGTCAACAGCTTGCTGCTCTTCAGAGATGAGTCTGTCGCGTCAAATCTCGCAAAGAAACGGCAGCCTTCTAACGAAGACAAAGCTAAAGAAAGTCTCACTAAAACTGAACATAAAGGTCATAAAACCAAAAAGGTTCCTCCGGGAGGGAAAGCGGACCCAAAAGAAAGACCTAAAAAACAGAGGCGGTCAACAGCGGAGGCTCAGAACATTGACTGGTTGGCTTTGTTTGCGCCTACGCCTCGGCGTCAGGCAGGCCTCACTGCTGCAACGCTGCTCAAACTCACCAGCGCCCAGTACGGAAGCAAACGACAAAAGAAGGCGGAGTCCAAGGCGGGGAGTGGGTGTGAAGCAGCAGCTACGACTCAGGATGAGATTAGTGGTAAGCAACTGTTGGGAGAAACAACGCTGACCAAAAGAACAACACATCCCAAACACGAGGACCAACTGAAGCACATAAAACAGGGTACAGAGGATCCGGTTCATTCCCAGCTGGACTCCACCATCCAGGGTTGCTGTAGCTTGTGTAAAAGCGAGGCTTTGGATCCGGAGTGGGCGGGCCCTGCAGGGGGACAGGAGTGTCTCAAACGGGAGCTTCACCGCGGCTCTTCGCTCGGATTCTCCTTGAAAACAATCAAAGAGGAGCAGGTGGAGGCCGAGGTGTCTTCCTGCTACTGCTGCTCCCAGGAGAGGTGTGTCGAGTACTGTCACAGACTGGCCCTCTTCCTGGAGGACAAGACCTTGAAGGAACCAGAGGACGGCTCACTGTCTGAGGTGTTCCACCATCATCATCACCACCATCACCATCACCACCATCATCTTCAGCCACCTCACTCCGTAACCCACCCAGCATCCATAACCATCAGCCCGCACACGTACACCTGTTTCCCCGGCTACTACGTCCACTTCAGTCACCCGGACACCTCCCCCTCCCCCATACCACCCCTCGCTTTGTGCCCAAAGAGCGGCAAGAGACCCAAGCTGCTCCCCAGCACTGGTCCGCAGCCCTCAGGGATTACCCATCCAGTGTACTGCTGCACCTCAGTGGAGGCGTGCTATGGAGAGCCCTGCAGGATCAACGGCTACTCCTCCTACACCAGTGTGATTCCAGCCATCGCCAGAGGAGGGTGCTCCTTCAGCACCACAGACTGCACCAAATGTAACCACAGCATCAAAAGAGGTGAGCACACACAGGATTGACATTAGGTTTACTTTTTATCAACCCCCAGCAGTGTGTCAGAACTGAACAAGCTGAGTTAATGCACTGGTATCTGTCTTGATGGCACTTATGTAACGACACCGACAACTTCTCCAAGTGCCTCAGATAAAAGGCAGAAGGACAGCAGAGTGTCCATTATCTCTTTCATTTTTGAATCCTCATAGGATGTGTGTATTTATCGCTGCTGCAAAGTGAAGTGTGGCAGTGTAGGAAGATGAGCTTACTTTAAATGTTTTTTGTAATTCAGTTTTCTTTTACTAAGTTTTGTAGCTGATAAACAACACAAACCAGTATTTTACAGTAAATTAATAAAGAACAGAGGGGTGTACCACGGAGCCAGATCAGTCAGTTAGTGAGGTATGTTGAGTTTTCAGTGTTACAAAGGTGACTCTGGCTAGATCACCATGGTAACTTTACTGCAGGCCAAAAATGGTCCAGACCAGGTTGTCTTCAGAGTTTTGCATTAAAATTGGCTAAAAAGCACCTTTCACTAATCAGTTCCTTTTGAAATAGCATCACCCTGTAGTCAATAGTTAATCTCTTCCTGCCAAATAAAATAGTGCAAGTGCAGTAGCACAAGCTGTATGCTTTGGGCTGCATATTTTAGCCATAAGAACTCATAGTATATCAGTGTTGAAGAAAATCTAAGCAAGGATGCTGTTTTATTTTATTCACAACTTGCTCTCACTGAACTACCTAATGTGTTTGTCCATGCTGTCTCTAAAATAAGCCGTATAAAAAAAAACCCAGGTAGCACTATACATTAATTGTTCACTATATTATCAATCAGGATGACGTCTGCTAACAGAGTGCTGATTAAAGAATTAATTAATCTATTGATATTTATTGCAGATAATATTAAATCAATACTAGAAAATTCTTATCACTTTGATTTTGCCAATAAGAGATTAACACTAATCCTTTGTTATGGGACAGTGTCAGTACATGTGCATACAGTTCGTAAGTATCACACTAAAATCCATTGCATCATGTTTAAAGATTAAGAGCTGTAGAATGGGCAGATGTAATGGTAGAAAACAAACAGACTGCTAAAATAAATATATTAACGTCTGAATTTACACAATTGGTCATTGTCTGCCGGTATCCTGCTCTCGCTTTCAAGCTACAGCTGGTAACTTTTATGAGGTATATATATTTGCCGCAACTGTTTCTATAGTCTAAAAAACAAAAACATTAGACCGATAAAATGATGTCCCTCCACTTCCTGCTGCCTCTAAAGGCATTTTCTAGATGTACCGCAGCACAACGAAAACAACCAATCAGAACCGAGGAGTTTCAGCTGTAAATTATGTCTTGTCGCTGCTCATGAACTGCAGTCAAATTGTTTAGCTGTAAAATGAGAAAGTTTGTGACCCAGCTGCTATGTTGGGTACAATTCATTTGAGTACCAAGCATCACCCACCAGCCTGACCAGTTTTCTCATTTTGCAGCTAAACAGTACACGAAAATATGTTTCTAAAACAACTGAGGTGAAGTATGCAATGCAGTAACAAAATGTTGATTCATATTTTTTTTTTTTTTTTTACAAACTATTTGTTAGTTATTAGTTATTTAAGTTAACAACTGTAGCTTTAATGGAAGCAACAATGTCGCTTTTTGCTGTAATAGTTTTTTCATATCCTTCATGGGCAGAAGTAGGCTATACACAAACGCCCCCTCCTTATGGGAACATGCACAGAGCCTGAAGAAGAAAGACTAGCAAAGCAAGTTGGCGATCACGTTTATGTTACCTATTATCTCCGACTGGGATCTTAAGCTTTGTCAAGCCGGCTTACGCAAAGAAAGCCTGACTCTGTCAAACTTGATCCATATTGAACCCCTCAGATAACAAAGTAAATGGAACTAAACAAATGTGGCCTAATGTAGTGGTTAACCTGAGTAAAATAGGCCACAATGATAATAATAAGTAAAAAGGAAAGAAAAAAGTATAAATAAAATACCATATTAGTACAACATAAATCTCAAGCTTGAAGGTACGTTCCTGTTCTTTGAAATAGCAGTTTGATTTTTTTTTTTAAAGCCTAGCTATGTAAGTTGGTGCAGACCAGTGATCATGGAGCGCTGTTTGAAAGGTTACTCAAACGATTTAGTGTTGCACTTTCACAAAGTCAAGAGGTTTGCAAAAGACAGATTAAAAAAAGAGAAAGGTCAGAATTGAAGCAGCAGAGGCTGAGATATCCTTTTTTTTTTTAGTCCCTGTCATGTTCCAAAAAAAGTTGAATCCTTCCCGATAAATGCCCACATCTTTCAAACTCTTCACCCCCACTTTGTAACTGAGACTTTCTGTTATAAATTTGTAGTTTGTGTGTTCTTAGACTTTACAGAGCTCCCTGCAGAGCCACAAAAGATATGAAACAATTTTTACAGGCTCCAAATGACAAGGAAACAAAGCTTCATTTGTAAAATCATTGAACCCTTTAAATAAGACAGTAGTTTAAGTATTAAACGTTCATGAGCACACTACGGTTATTAGGTTATTTTGTATGCAGTGCCCCCCCTAATCCGGCTGCCAAAGCAGTACAATGCACTGAGAATAGCTATTATGTCAGGCATTTTTAATCTCCTATTTTGGAATGTCACTTGAGTGGGAGGTAACAAAAAAATATCAGATAAAGGGCAAGACCTCTTTTGTCTCCGATTGAATACAAGCAGCCGGACAGTGAATACAAGGCCTGTGCAGCTGAAACCTAATGAGCTGATTGTACGAGCTCGAGTGTCAGCAGTTAGTTACTGTGCTCAAGTCAGAGATGTGAACCAGAACAGGAAAACTCTCTGTGATATCTGCGGTGTGACACACAAACGCTGTGTGACTGGCTGAATGTGTGGGTGTATGGTTAAAAACACCTGAGTGTGACCTCAAAACAACACTAATTACACGTGAACACACACCAGTGTACTGCTGCGCCTTAGCTGCTCGCGCTCTATCTCTCTCTCTGTGGTCTCCAGCAGCCGAAAGCAGGTCAGGCTATGAGGGTTGAGACTCTACAAGAGCGCCGAAGTCTCTTCTTACTCATAGATTTCATGGAGGACATTTTGACATGTCACAGTAGGAAAAGCACAGGTGTAAATAATAGAATTAATGATGGCTGAATTCCGCTCAGCTGCTTTTCCTGGTATTGTGCACGTTGGCCTGCTGTCACACTGTCATGGCTTACTGGGACACTTGAATAGAAAGGAGCCATCGTTTATGTTATTAGTAACAGCTGTGGGTTTCCTGCCATGACAAGTCAAAATGTCTGCTGTGAGGAGACCGATGGTCTGCCCACACAGGTGTTGCCACTTCTCTGCCTGATTAGACTTTCTCTCTGTACTGAATGTGTACAGATCAGGGCTGCGTTCAGCTGCGACAAAATTCAGCAAAACATTTATTTAAAAGTAAATGGTGGTGCGTTGAACACCCTGTTGTGTTACTCAGGTGCACTGCTTTTTAATACACCAGGATTTCACTAATTTCAATTCAGAAGGCCTTTATTGGCATGGGAAGCATACGTTTATACTGCCAAAGCCAGCATTAAATAAAAACAAAAACTGTATGTACACTAAGTAAAGACTGAGCAGAGTTTGGTTTAGCACAGTAGCAATCAATGTCCCCTTTCACACATTCTTCCTTGCCATTGGTCGAGCCTCCCTGTCAAAGTTTACCAAAGTTGAACTCCGTGCGATCGGAATATGCAATTTTTCTTTGCCACCGGGAGAGAATGAAGTGAACGGGAGGTAAATATTTGCCTTTGTTAATTACGCTCATGTGGGCCCGTCATGTGGTAACCTCATGACCAACATCAACCTGGGGCATGTTCTGTCTGAAAATGGTGTACACCGCTTATAGTCTGAACAACATGTTTCCCCAAATTGGTGTAAAACAGGCTTTGAGGTATTTATCTCCTTTAGTGGGTGTGTCAGAGGTGTTACCCTATCAGCAGTGATGGGTGTATAAACCTGCAGTACTAAAAGACAGCACCTTGTGTAACAGACATCGACTGTAAAAATAATGGACGTAGCTACCATGATGTCACCCATCAGTTTGTGGACTCCTGTTCTGAAGCCATAAATTCAGCTTTTAGGCCATAGCCATCTTGGATTTTTGGAGCCAGAAGTGACCACATTTGGTTGAGAGGCTGGAGCTGTGGAGCCTTAAGCCTTAAGAAAATGTAAACTGGTGAGTTGTGTAATAATTCACCCCCGCACAATTGTTGTGAAAGGGGAAATTAGCTATAGAGACCAAAGCTGTTTTTGTACCAGGCTGTTAACATGTTTATTTCTGCTGTAACGTTGGGCATTTTAACATGGGGGTCTTTGGGGATTGACTGGAGCCAGCCTCAAGTGGCCGTTCAAAGAACTGCAGGTTTTGGCATTTTGTGTTGGCTTCACTTTTAAGTTTCGGAGGTTGCCAGCGTGTAGGATTTAGGGGCATCTGTTGGCAGAAATGCCAGATAGTATTCATAATTATGTTTTCATAATTTTATGATCACCTGAAAATAAGAATCGCTGTGTTTTCGTTTCCTTAGAATGAGCTGTTTATATCCACGTATGGAGTGGGTCCTCGTCTATGGAGTCTGCCATGATGTTTCTTCAGTAGCCCAGAACAGACAAACCAAACAGTCCTTCAATCTTATTGCTAGATGCCACTAAAACCTGCGCAGTGCACCTTTTATTAATGTTTTGTGACATTTTTTGTCGGGGCTGAATGTGCCCCTGAACTGTGGTCTAATTAGCCAAGTAATAACACCTCTGTGTGGGTGTGCAGGGCCTTTAAGTTACAGCTGTAATAAGATGATAAAGTAAATAGTAATTGTGTTGGCAAAAATATTCAAATCCTAAAGTGACCGTGTAACTTTTGACAAAGCAGATAGCACAGTCTTCCTTTTACAAAACAAATGTTCAGAAGCAATCAAACGCACCCTTGTTAAGTCAATACAACCAGGAGCTTCACTGTTACATTCTCACTAGGTATGGAATGGCAATAAACCTTTACATAAGTAAAAAAGTTAGTTGCTAAATATACCTAAAGCAGGTGTGTCCAAAGTCCGGTGCAGGGGCCAATTGTAGCCCACTGACTTTTTTGAACACCCTTCACCCAATATTGGTTAATCAAGCAAGATCACTTTGCCTTTTTCTATACAACTCATTAAATCAAGACTATCATAGTTTGAAGACACTGACCAAGTAGGAACCAAGCAGGTGGAACTAGTGTGTTTTCATAAACTGGAGCAGTAAAAAATTGAAAACTTTTTCAATGGAAGATGAAACAGTTGCGTTTGTCTCATTTTCATGTAATTTTTTGCTATCACTAACCCATATGATGGGAGAAGCAGCTGACCCCAGGTATTTTTATATTATCTATACTGGCCTCCATTCAAAAAAGTTTGACACTCCTGTCTTAAACCATTTGGAATGATACTACCTGCCGGGCAGTCACTACTGTGTAAGCAGCACTTTTAATGTTGTAGCTAGTGGTTGAGCTATTTTGAGCCACTTGAGAGTACACACTGTTGGATAATTGAATCTATAACAATACATCAGAATTTATATGGTCAGACAGCAAAGGTTTTGCACATAAAATCTTAATTTGCAGCCACTATTCACTGGCTGTCAAATAAACGTAGGGGAGTAAAAAGTACAGTGTTTGCCTCTGTAATGCAGGATGTATAAAACATAACAGCGTTACATGACATAGATGTATGGATCTATGGTGGATCTATATCTAATAATAAATATGTTTGCTAATGGTTGAGTTGGTTAAAGTATCTTAATGTATTCTCCATGGAGGAAATGAACACTGCTGATGAAGTTTAGATGGAGGGAGTAGAGAGATCACGTTGAAATAAATTGACCATTAACCCACCTTAATGTCCTCACCACAACTGTCATGGGAGTGTGCACAAGCTGCTCTTGTTGTTTCACACAGTCAGTGCTAGTGTTAGTGTTATTTAGCTGTGTGTGTGTGTGTATGTATGTGTGTGTGTGTGTGTGTGTGTGTGTGTGAGGGGCTGCTCTGTTAAAGGCTGTAATTGACCTTAATTGAGGCTCTGTTTGTTATTTCTGCTGCTTCAGCGGAACTAATAACAACTGAGTATCATTCAGGTCTCTATTATGTAACCTTGTTAAAGGTTGTTGATCACTGTTGCCGCTCCTTAAAAGACTGCCCGTCACTCATTATGTTTCCTTTTCCGTTACTTCCTCAGACGACTACTCATCCACCCTCAATGACCATCACAGTCCCTCCTCCATCCCCATCTGTCCCAGCCCCAGAACCCTCACTGGCTGCCCCGTTCCCACTGTGCCTCCAGCCGGCCAATCAGTGCCCCACGTTCAGACTCCGCTGTCCGACCCCAGCCAACCGCAGCCTCCGCTGCAGGTGGCGAAGGAGTGCCCGCAGAGTGCCAAGTCGCCCAGCGGGTCGAGGTCTGGCGCACGCGGCACCGGCAGCATCAGCTCGGCTGTCTGCCCTCTCAACAGGGACAAGAAGCAGAAGCTGGGCTCTGCCAGTGATGCAGGGCGAACGGTTGCCAAGCAGCCGAAGAACGGCCGCCAGAAATCCACCAACGGCTGGCGGCCAGTTGGCCTGCCCTTTCAGAAGGAGGTTTTCTCTGTGGTACGTAGAAGAAGTCATGCTGGTGGTTTCTGACGCAGCCATAGCGGTGCCGCTTGTAATTAAAGATGGTGTCACTTTACTTTCTGCTCTAAGACAGGATGATTTATCACATATTGTCACGTTAGAGCTTATTCACTGATTTCTGAGTTTCGTCCAAACACCTGACCGTCCACATTTCTGTCGAGATACACAAGTCATTCAATACAAATCACATCCTGGAGCTTTTTACTCCACAACCTCTCTCAGCTTATCAGTGTGTCCTGCTGCTTGTGTTCCAGGGAGAGGAGACGCTGGTGCTGAGGAAGTGTTTCGAGGGAGTCCAGAGGGACGGGGAGCTGATTCGGGTCAGAGACACTGTTCTGCTGAAATCTGGACCTAGAAAGAAGTCTCTGCCTTACGTGGCCAAGATCTCATCTCTGTGGGAAGAGCCGGAGTCAGGTAGGACACATACTGTACACAGTGTTTAACTCCAGCACAAGAGGAGCTGAATTAATGCGGTAATAACTGGCTCCAGCACTGACGTGAACTGTGTGTGTTTTGTGTTTCTACAGGAGAGCTGATGATGAGTTTGTTTTGGTACTACCGTCCAGAACACACACAGGGGGGACGCAACCCTAGTATACATTGTGAGGTGAGAAGATAATCCTTTTATACCTTTTTAAAATACTGTTTTCTGAGTGGTCGGCAGGTGTTTGTTAAAATCATATACGCTCCAGTTCATTCTGTGCAGTAGCTTGTAAACCAGTGTGCATGCAGTGTATATTAAACTGCATGTAAGCATGGGTAGAATATTTATGCTTTGGGCCGTGTTAGCTTTTAAGTCTCTCAGGTGGAATTAACTTAGCTACCATTTTAACTGATGTTTAAAACTTATATTTAATTTAATGATAAGGTTGATAATATTCTATATTCTTTATAAAGCTCACAAAAAAGAAACAAAACTGAAAATGAATTGATCCGACTCACAAGTTTTATCTGTGTATTCAAAGCCTGATGTCGCTTGATAAACTATTTAAAACACAACAATGAGCCACACGTCCCTTCATTATCAGAAACTCTGCCCCTGTAGTTTATTTTGAGTCAATCCTACACAAACCGCCATGCTGTGATAAGTGCTCTTTATTATACATATTCATCCACAGTAGAAAATAGTCCCCAACAAGTGCTGTATTTACTCAAAAGCCCCCAGCTTCCTAAATGACTCATCTCTTTTTCAAAAACTATATATTTAAGATCAGGTTTTAAAGATCCACATCAGGGGTGTCAAACGGGCCAGAACGCCAAAGAGTCCAATCCGGTCTGCTGGTTTACTTTGCACAGCTAATATTGATGCACTTGCAAAGGCCAAGAGGTGTCAGGTTTCAGGAGCAAAGTTAAACAGTGAGTAGTGTACTTCATATAAAATGTTGCTTCAGAGGTTTTCCCACCCTGACTAGAATACAGTCCTCTGAAGAAACAATAAGTACTTACTGTGGTCATATTTAAAGATATTGAATATTGTGCAAAAGAATCTGTATCAGACTTCAATCTTTACTCTTTAAAAACAGACGTCCCGCAGACGGCCACAGGAGGTCGTTGTATGCATAATCCTGTATATTTCGGTCTACAACAAAAACCATAATAGCTTGAACATTCCTTCTTTATGCAGCAGAAATCTAAAGCTTCTGTCTTCCATGTCATCACGTTGTACGCTGGAGATGATGTCATTATGTTATGTGCGGTGCAAAACTGTGTGAAAACATTCAATGGCTTAGGTGCCACTGTTGGAACTACAGTATAAAAAAGCCTTTGCACTCTGCTCATAAAAATGAGCATATCTCAAAAACTAAATCATGCACATAGTTCAAATAACTTACGGAGTGTTTAGAGATATTTCGTTCATGTTTCTACATTTAGAAATCTGTTGGATCAGTAGGTTTTGTGTTAATTTTGTAAAATTCAATGTTTAAACATGATGATTTTTGTATTTTTATGCCTCCGCCTGGGTTACAGCTGGAGCTGTAGGCATTATGTTTTCGTGTTGTCTGACCATTTGTCAATCTCCATTCTCGTGAACACGATATCTCAAGAATGCCTTGAGGGAATCTCTCCAGATTTGGCACAAATGTCCACGTGGACTCAACAATGTACTGATTAAGATTTGCTGGTCAAAGGTTAAGGTCACTGTGCCCTTGCATCTGTCTCATTCTTGTGAACACGATATCTAAAGAACATCTTGAGGGAATTTCTTTAAATTTGGCACAAACATCCTCGAGTCAAGGGTGAACTGAACAGAATTTGGTGGCTAAAGTTCAAAGGGTAAGGTCACTGTGACCTTGCATCCATTGCATTTATGTGAATGCGGTAACTCAAGAACACCCTGAGGGAATTTCTTGGGGTTTGGTCAAGGTCACTGTGGCCTCACAAAACATTCCTATACTAATTATAACAAAATTTCACACAAATGTCTAATAGGATAAAATGGTGAAGTGATGAAATTATATATCCTGAACTGTGGTATCATAATGTTCTGCAAAAACACTTTTCTGTCCATCATTAAACATCGTATCTCAGGAACAGAAGGGGAGACATTTGGACAGATACTGAATTGGTGACACTAATCTTGGGTGTCCACCTTGAAACTGTGCCAATTGTGTCGATCTTCTGTGCTGCCGGGGTGATGATGTGTGTCAAGCATTTGTGGTTTCACAGATTTGGACGTTAACTGCACAACTCAACTGGTGTGTGGAGCCATACAACCACAAGGCAGCAATTGTAGTTTTATTCATGACACAATTTCCTTAAGTTTATTGACTTACATAACCTTTAAGTTTTGGTTGTACAGATTTTAAATATACAAAGCATTTTAAGACACTCCAGAAAATGACATCACAATAAGCAAAAATCCCATGTAAGCACTGCTGGACCATTTCCACTGCAGAGTTCACTGGGGTTAAAACAGTATTAGTGGAACCATATTGCCAAGGCACTGCCAAAACTTCAGATTTGTAAATGGTTTGAAAGACAGGGGAAAACTTCACCTGCTTCCTCAATAGTCTCCACTTTAGTTTGGTGTGGTGATGCCAGCAGTACTGCACAGGAGTGGAAATGTATGGAAAAATGCACATGTAACGCCAGTGAGTAGTAGACTGACTGAATGTGGAAAAACTGAGACATGTTGTTGAAATTGTACTTATTTTTCTTCCGACGCCTCCAGTTGTTTATCATCTGTTTTGTAAATGGATGAGTGTTTTCAGTATGTGCGTCTTTACACTAAGAGAACGGGGGAAATTTGGAGGTGCTGTTATTTATAGGTTATTATGTAATGGTTTTACTGGTTCGGCCCACTTGAGATCAAGTGGACTTAAATGAGTTTGGCACCCCTGCTCTACGTCTTCAGTAGAAACAAACGCATTTGGAGAAATTGGAAAGTACTGTAAACTCATTAAGGTGTTGTTGGTTTTGGACTTTGCATGAGATTTGTAGACAACTAGACAAATATACAGCGACACCAACATTATATTTTAAACATAGAATTTATTTTCTTTAACTTAAATGTCCAGGGTGTTTTTGCTTGCTTAATTCTGCTTCTAGTAAAATACTTTTCTGTAGGATTTTAGGATTAGTTTGCCACACTGATGTTTTCAGCAATTACTCTTTCCCTTCATTTCTTCCTGTTTGTACACTATGAATTTGCATCAAAATGAAAACATTACAATTCAAGGGAAGACTTCAGAGATTTTGGCTCAACTCAGCACCTGAAAATGTGTCTAAAAGAGATGAGAGTGAGTGAACAAACACACACAACGCCAGCAGACACACATGTTGAAAAGCAGCTTCTGCTGTGCTTGCTCCGTGTTGTCAGTAATCTCCCAGAGGAACAAGCTGCACTTTATTAAATCTCTGGAAACAATAAACCGCATGAAGTCTGTCATTTCTCGGCTGCACTAACAAACAACAAACACATCAGAGCGGCAGTGTGAGAACAGTAGCAGGGCTCTGGCTCAGAGGAAGAAACATCTTTCTCCTGTGAGTCTGTCTTTAAGTCTGAAAGTGAAGGTGACGTGCTCATGAACAACGAAGGAGAGAGAAGTTGTCTTTTAAGGTCCCTGTGTGCATGTGTAGACTGTGAAGATTTAAGGGATCACTTGTTTAATTCTCAGTCTTGGTAGATGATTTACTTTTTATTTTTATTTGGGGCTACTAACCCATGACTGAAACTTTCTTTCCCCAGAATGAGATCTTTGCGTCTCGTCACCAGGATGTGAACAGTGTGGCCTGTATTGAAGACAAATGCTATGTCCTAACATTGGCACAGTATTGTCGGTAAGAAAGAACATTTTCTGGTGGCTTCAGCGTATGTCTTTGAAGTATATTTTTTGCTATAAACATTGGAAAGATTACCTGCTGAGAAAATCCTGCAGTGTTGTGTTTTTGAAGCTTAAACCAGTGCACGATGTTTAACATAAAAAGCAGGCGAATTTTTCTCAGTTCTCAGAGAGTTTGAAGCTACAAAGAAACACTGTTATTGTTTTTCTGACTGCTTTTTTGAAGGCGATTGAGTTTGATGTCCTGTATTTGTGCTCCGTCCAGATTTTGTGCCTTGGTAAAACGCCGTAGGGAGGGTGTGCGCGACTGTGCCGCCTCCCTCATGGTGCCACCTGTTGTCGGCAACACCATGCCCACCCACCACTGTGTGCCCGATGACGTCGACCCAGAGCTGGTGTTTTTCTGTCGACACGTCTATGACTTCCGCTACGGACGCCTCCTCAAGAATCTGCAGTAGCATCTGACGGGGCATGACACATAATGCTATATGGGACGTGAGATAACGCTGTACATCCTCCACAACTTTAATTAGCTCCATACCTACCTGCTGCCTGCGTGACAGGAACTGGAAGTTTAGGATGAAGGACTGAGACATGAGCTTCTTTTGTTTTGAAACCTCTTGTTCATACTTAACATGCCACACATTTATTTAGTGAGAGTAATGGCTTGACATATTGTATAAGAGTTAATATGGCAGTGTAATGGTCTTTATCATACATGGCTCTGTGGTGTCGTAGCAGCTGTGTGAAGAACCTGGAACGTACTCTGCTGTAGAAAATGCTACTGTAGCTCTTAGAAATGTGACATTTGATAAATATGAAGACAGGTTGATGTTACATGTGAATTATGTTACTGTCTGCCTGACAGATATCAGACACTCAGTGTATCTCAATGATACGCCATAACTAAAGAAAATTGGAGGCATACAGTTTTAGATCGGCCCATGAGAAGAAACAGAGTGGCTGAAGGTTTAATCACATTTGTCATCAGATTTCTCTGTTACGCACTGCAGTCTTACAGAGAAGCTCCAGAGTGAACATCTGTGTTCAAGATGTGCTTAAGGAATAGTTTTGAGGAAATTTGCTGTCTTTCCAAAAGTTAGATGAGATGATCGATACCGCTCTCATGTCTGTACTGTAAATATGAACCTAATGCCTGCAGCCAGTTGGCTTCAAGACACCAGGAACAGTGGAATTACAACTTCTGGGTTTGTCACGGGATGCAGTTGGGCCCAAAAGAGTTTTTCTCATAGACTTACAATGTGAAAGAGACAACTATAAATTAGTGAATACCTTTTTTTGAGCGTCATAACTACTGTGACATGACCCGTTTCACTATCAGGATTTGATCTATTCATTCCGGTAACATTTTGAAAGTGTAGAAGAGCTGCACGATTAAATCATTTTATCCCCATTCAAGTTAGCATAACGCTAAACTGGAAGTTAAGGCTGATTTATACTTGTGCGTCAGCTCCATGCAGAGCCTGTGCCGTAGCCTACGCCATTGGGAGCATTTATACTTGTGCAGTGGTCTGTCTGTGTCACTCTGCAGTTACACCTCCAAAACACTAGTCGGTGCTGGGGTTTCTGTGAAGTGCTATAAAGTTTAATTGATTCAAAACGCACATTAAACATGGCTTAAGTAGCGACAAGCTCAAACACAAGTACACAAAGCAGCTTCGCTGTAACTAGCAGCTTTCACAGACAAACACATTCCCCCCGAATACAGCATGCTAACATTATAAGCACAAGCCTACGGCAATTTACATTGTATAAATTAGCCTAGCGTCTAGCAGACATTTCCTCTACTCATAAAAAATAGCGACAACAGCAACATTTAACAAAGGTAACATTACTAAATTCTTCTCCATTACAACTCACAAGGTTCACCAACAAAACAACCGTCTTATACTGAACACGTCTTCCAAACAAATATAAAATTCTAACATTATTAGCACAATTCTTTAGCATTTTACATTATATAAATTAACCTAGCAACTAGCTGAGATTTCCTCTGCTCATATGAAGCCAGGATAAATCACACGCTTTATTGTCTTAACAAAAAAGCTTAGTTTTCACTGAGGGAAATGGTGTCAGCTTACAAAAATAGACAGGAGGTCTGCGTCGCAGCAATATGTGGTTACATTTTTGGGGAGGTGCACGTCAGGCTACGGCGTAGGCTACATTGTAGGTAAAGCGTTGATTCGATGCATAAGTTTAAGTCCCACTTTAGCCGCTTTGCCACTCATAGTCTCTAGTGCACTTGCTCTATGGGCCCAATGATGTTGGACATTCCGGTAATTTTACACACAAAAGTTAAACTGTTTTGGCTTCATGCACCACTGAGCAACTTTTATAGGAAGAAACGGCCCCCAACACTGTATCCAGTTGTCTTTAAACATCCATTGTTAGCTTAGCATGAATACTGGAAACAGGAAAACAGCTAGCCTGACTATGGACAGAGCGAGGCTAGCTGTTTCCTCCTGTTTCCAGTCTTTGTGCTAAGCAAAGCTAGGCTAACTGGCTGCTGGCTCCAGCTACACATTTCCCGGACAAACACGAGAGTAATATTCTCATATAACTCTTGACAAGAAAGCAAATTAGCTTTACCAATTGTTTTACCGTTCTATCATGTAAATTAATAATCTCGAAGATTTTCATTTATGTCTGATAAGTCACTATCTATATCTGAACTAGTAACACAGTAGTGATTGAGCCTATGACCCACTGACGAAGCCCTCGCATTTACAGTATTATGAACTGCATGTTGAGGGTGACATTACCAAGAAAAATCACAAGCAGTGCACAGTCATTCATAATCTGGTCTCACACACCAAAATAAAAATACATGTGTGCACACAAACATACTTTGAAAAAAGCCACATTTTCAATACATCATGTACATGTGGACTAGGCCTTTAAAGGTCCAGTGTGTAGAATTCAGAGGCATCTCTTCGCAGAAATGGTTTATTGTAGTCGTAGCTATGTTTTCATTAGTATATAATCACCTGGAAATAAGAATCGTTATGTTTTTGTTTCCTTAGAATGAGTCGTTTATATATACACAGAGCAGGTCCTCTTCCGAGGAGTCTGCCATGTACTTCTGCAGTAGCCCAGAATGGATAAACCAAACACTGGCTCTAGATAGGGCCATTCACATTTTTGTGTCAGACATCATAGTTCCCTTAAGCCCAGTTCAGACCAAAGACAAGTTGAGGCAACTACTTGTGCCAGTGCATCTAGGTGAGATGGTGTATCATCTCTATGCAACAACTCTCTGTACTTTTGTTCTGATTTCCAGCTTTTCAGGCTTATTTTGTGGCTGAATATAATTTGTAGCTTCTTAAAATATGAGTAAGGATAGTAGTAAGGAAACATAAACAAAAAGAGCATCAGATGGACTTTATTCATAATAACTACGCCACAATAGTAAAAGTAAGCAGTGCCAGTTAATCAGTCAAAGAGAATGTGTGGGGGAGACATAAGCACATACAGTGAGCAGCAGCAGAGACCCACCGTCCGACACCAGAACACCATGAAGAGGTAAACAGAGGGCTCGGGAGGGACATAGCACCTGCCGTAGCAAGCAAACATGCCATTTGCAGTCATTTTGACTTGACCAGTGGACTTTACTACAAGCCGATTGGCTGTAGAAACAGGTGACAAGGTGCTACCATCATCTTCAACGGCAGCCAGTTCACACTGCTTCAACTTTTCTCTGCAGCGTTCTAAAACTGTTTCATCTTATTGCAAATCTTTGGTCTGAACTGGGTTTATACGCCTGGCACACAGGAAAAGTTTCAGGTCTGCAGCCTCACCACTAAATCCTTCACACTGGACCTTTAATCTGCCAGCAAACACACTGCAATCACAGCTAATCACCATAGGTGCCGCCAAATTGGATGAAACACAGATCTTTGAGATTGCAACTTTAACATTTCCATTCTGATGTAATCATGATTGACCTGGTGGTCTACGTAGTAAACTTTGATCACAGCTGTGAGGAAAGTCCTTTATCAGAAGGTTTGATTAAATCCAAGTCAGCTTTATCACCACTGATTAAGTCCATGCGCAGCAAACAATGACATGTGGAGGTGTTTTGGCTCTATTCTAGGTTTTATGTCATATCTGTAACCCTGGTGATTCTCACAGTTTAGTACAGACCTGCACTGTACAAAGAAAGCACACTTGAGTTTGTTTGATTTCGCAGTGTGAAGACGTCCAATGAGCCGAGCAGTGAGGGGATGTTTGTTATGCCAATGCTGAGGAATATTTTACTTTCTCAAAGCTGTTTGCCAGAGGTGTGATTTGACTCCACTGTCAGCTAACTGTATATTTGCATTTATATATCTGGATGAGTGTCTGTTCGTGGCAGATGGCATCAGTTAGTCACCTATATTCTTGTTTCTTCACCGATGAGATGGTGAGTAATGTATTCAGTGTAGCATTTAGATCTGTGATGATGATCCATTCCTATGTTTGAGAGAAGATATGTATTTATTTCTGTACTGAGAAAATATAATTTATTTTCAAAAGATAATTTTAAAGAATAGAGTTTTAGATGAGTGGCTTTCATTCCTGATTAGTAAGGAGGTCTCTCCTTCTTAGCTGCACTGTCTAAGATGAAAAGTGTGAGTTATTTGCGATAGTATTTCTGTGACTGACTGAGCTTGCTTGCCCATTACAAGCCTGTTAAATGTCGTGTTGAGATGTTGAAGTCCTCCGGGCAGATTCGAGGACACATTTAGAAGGATCTCAGATACAGTTTGAATGACGCCTGCTAACATGTGACCAGAAAGGCTTAACCTGCAGGACCAAAACGTACCTTGGCCTCTCCCAGCTTCTTGTCATTCTCCTGTCACTTCTCCTCAGATGATAAAGCTTTGCCTCTTCACCTTTAAATGCCGAATGCTACGATGATTTAAACCTACCTTGCCATTAGCCTGTGCCCTTGATCTTGCTGCCTTATAGAACATTCCCAGCCTTTCATTTAGAAATGTGTACCGATATCAGCCTGGGGTTGTGAAGCTTCTTAGTGTGCTGATCTTGATTCCTAGAGACTTGAGATGCATCTCAGGTTCATCGCTTTCATGTGAACTGAAAGACAGAACTGATCCTTGATCAACACTTTAATTTTGACAAAAGTCTGCCCAAGATTTGTATCAAGTTCAAAGTGATCTGTTAAAGAAGGAATAGTTAAACACTTGGGAAGTACGCTTGCTTTATTTTCTCGTCCAGAGTTAAATGAAAAGATTGGGACCACTCTCATACCTGTGTGCTAATTATGAAGCTGGAGTCAGCAGCAGATTAGCCTAGCTTAGCATAAAGACTGCAGAAAGAAAACAGTTGGGCTGGCTCTGTCAGAAAAGGCAACAAAATCCACCAACCAGCACCTCTAAAGCTCACTGATTAACATGTCTGTAAACATCAAATCTTTGTGTCTGTATGCTAAGCTAAGCTAACTGTCTGTTGGCCGTCGTTTCATATTTAGAGTACAGACATGAGTGTGGTATTGATGTCTCTTCTAAATACCTTGAAACACACAGAACAGCATATTCTCACTCCCAACTTGTTGAATACCGACACTTGGTCAGTGGCTGTACAGGTCAAACTATGACACTATAGGTACCCTCTAGCATCAGTTTGGGACATTCAGCGACGCCATGTCAATTTACTCTTGTTTCATGCATTGTGTATTTTCAAACTTAACTTCCATTTGCACAGGAAATGTCCAGTTCTTGCTTGTGAAGTGCATACAGTTGCTTTTCAAAATAAACATACCTTTAGTTTTAGGTTTACTTCCTATGGTTAAGGCAACACGTGCTTAAGGCAGCACGTGGTTAGGTTTAGAAAAAAGTATCACGGTTTGGCTTGAAATAAGAAATTTGAAATTTGTGACAAACATAATGTATACATCACAAGTTATTGATATAACTTACCTTCAGTTTCACACAGGAAATGAACAGTGGTCTCCCAAGTGAAAGTCCAGATCCTGTTTGACCGATTCACCTCCCCTCCCGCCTGCCCTACGTGGACACCCTCACTCTTTATACTATGGCAGTTTCTCAGAGCCTCGAAAAATTATGCCACCCAGTCTCTCACTGCTGCCTGGTGCATTGGTATCTGACGCTGAGGGCCACTGACCAAACTATGATATTTGACAAGTTGGGAGTGAGAAATAAACAAATAATCGACATGAAAATGCACAACTCACCTGTTAAAATTATGCATCAAAACTATGCGAAATGAATATGCAACAGTTGTATTGACGTGACGTTAGTTCCACACAGCATGATTGGTTGATGTCTTTATGCCTTTTTCTCAGTACAAAAACTCGGCCTTGGATCAGAAAAACAAATGACAGCTTTTTTGCCGTGAGATAATCACATTCTGTGTGGAAGTAATCA